GGGATCCTGGATTGGAGAGGGTGCAGACTGGGTTGAGGGGACGACCCCCCCCCCCCCCCCCACGAATTTTGTGCACCGGGCCTCTAGTCATTTAATAACTGCCCACAGGGAAGTGGTTGTGGCCTGTGAAAACCATGTCTGTGTGGTCTGTGCATCTGCTGGCATTCTTAGGAGTGGCCACTTTCTCTAGACCCAGCGAGCTGATTAATGTGTCTTTCACTTTAGGATGTTTTGCATGTGGGATGGAAAATGGATTCCGAGTCTATAACACCGACCCACTAAAAGAAAAAGAGAAACAAGGTAAGAAGTAACCAACATTTCATGGTTTCTCTCCTTTCCAACCCTCATAGTCTAAATTTTATCCTGTAGATGGAGGAGGCGGCAGGGGGAAGGGAGAGATGGACACAGCTGGTTTTGAGAAGTAAATATAGGGTCCATAGTCCTCCATCAACTTGGATGGAGCTGTTCTCTTTCTTTCTTTTTTTCTTTGAGCTTCTACGGTGCCTGGCTCTGTGCAGGGCCAGGATACAGTGGTGACGTCGTGGGCATTGGCCCGACTGATTTCTCCGGTGAATTGTCAACTTTGAAGCATCTGTCTTCCGTGTCTGGAGGAACAAGGTGTAGTTGATCTAGGCCAGCAAAGAGCCGCATGTGGCTCGCGAGCCACAATTTGCAGACCACTGATCTAGACCATTTTCACCCCTCGGTGAAGGTAACGCGCGCACGTACAGTACGATTGAAACTTCGTGGCCCATGCGCAGAAGTCGGTATTTTGTGGAAGAGCCACACTCAAGGGGCCAAAGAGCTGCATGTGGCTCGCGAGCCACAATTTGCCGACCACTGATCTAGACCATTTTCACCCCTCAGTGAAGGTAACATTGTAGAGAACTCAAATGATGGGTTTAATTACAGCAGATGGGACTAACTCTTAGTGAGTGACCAACTTAGAAATATCTGTAGCAATAAAATTATGTTTTCATGGAGTACAAGCTGGAATCAGGAATTCTGTTATTAAAATAAAATAATAGTAGTCTTTTTCCCATTTGACAGGAAAAATGTTAAATTTACTGAGAGAATTTTTTCAATTTGTTGTTTTCTCCTACATATTTTTCTTAAGCTTTTAGTGTTTCCTGGTCCTGATGGGAGAATCAAGCACTGCCCCAGGGATGAACCAATCTCAGATAAACCCTAGGAAGAGAGAAAGAGCCTTTTTCCTCCTGCAGTTGTAGTTGTGGTTTTTATTCAATGTACAAGTTACATTTTCTGATGCTAGAAATTTCTCATCTGTAAGAGGAAGTTACTGCATCCTGGTGCTCCATTTAACAGCCCCCTTTCATTTTAACAATACTCCACATTTTCAGATTTATTTTTTTTAAATAGTGGAACCCCTTTGTCAAAGGAAATCTTATGTACAGCCTGGTATGTAAACCAGTAAGTGGTGCTTTATATGTAGGAATTTCTTTTGTACCCTGATGTCTGTAACTTTCATTTATTGGAGGAAGACAGGGTAGCCTGGTAATGAAGGGCCAGACTACACCACCCACATTGCTTAGAGCCGAATCTTGGCTCTGACCCTTGTCAGGTTGCTGTGTGACCTTGGGCAAGGCTTTCGCCTTCTCTGGGTCTCAGTTTCTTTATGTGTAAAAGGAGGACAACTGCCTGCGGTTATTGTGAAGAGGAATGAGGTGGAACGTGCAAAGCACAGATTAGTGCTGGGCACACGTGAAGCTCTGGGCAAGCGTGTGCCCCCACCACCTGCAGCGGCAGCATTGCTGGGAGGGAGACTCCTGTTAGTCGCCCACGCATCTGGCATCTGTTCATTTTGTTTGGGTTGATAGTGAATTAAGACAACTGCTTTATACAGATAAATAGTTACAAAATATTTTGAAACAGCTTGACTTGCAAATTTCAGGATACTTTTTACTTAAATTGACTCAGAATCATGGAGAGGAGTTAAAGAGTTGATTACTAGCAGCAATAAAAGAGAACAAAATAATAATAGGCATGGAAGAATCTAAAAAATAAGCTAAGAGAAAGACACCACACATCCGTGCAGCTGTGACTGGACAGGTAGGAGCTGATTCTCAGGTTGACTTCTAATTTCTAGAGGTTTTGTACTCACTTGCCCTTTGCTGTGCCCTCACTAACCAGGAGCTCAAAGTCATTTCAGACCAGAGAGCAAGGCTGGGGAGAGCGGGTGGGCAGCCCTGCTCTACGACAAACAGCACAGTGGTGGGACCTGCTCCTCCGAGCCCCCACACTCTCACTGGGGCTCGCTCCGCCTTCCTGAGAGAGCACCGTCTTCTGTCCTGGAGGCCATTGAAAATCTGACATTTATTTTCCTCTTAATATAGCTTATGAATATTTTTGAGCATTTCAAACTTTAGTGGAAGAAGTGTTTAAATGATTTTTAAAAACTCGGTTTTTGCATTAAAGTGTTTAGCTTGCTTTCTCAGCTTACAGGTTTTGCTATACCATAAAATACGAATTTAGATATGTCATATTTTGCTATATTGGCTTCTTAGGGTGCTACGTGCTCAGCGTTTATGCATGAAAATAGTTGATGGGTGACAGGATGCTGAGAGATGTCTGTAGCTCGTAGCTAATTATTTTCCTATTCGGTCACCATTCTCATTTCTGATGGTAGCTAGATGCTTTAAGTTGCTGATTAAAGTCAAATGCCAACTGTTAGTCTCACCTCTTTTTCCTTTTTTTTAAATTATAAAATATACATACTAACTTCTTTTTAATATCATTTCAGAATTTCTGGAAGGAGGAGTTGGCCATGTTGAAATGTTATTCCGCTGCAACTATTTAGCTTTAGTTGGTGGTGGGAAGAAGCCAAAATACCCTCCCAACAAAGGTAAAGTCATCGTGTGTTTAATCATTGTGTCTAATAAAAGGTCCTGAGGGGGTGGGTTTAGACCTGGGAGTGAGAGAACCAGCTCTGCCTGGTCAGGTGACTGGTGTAGGATCCCTTCGGAGTGGCCTGCTTAGTATTGTGCTCATCCATTCTTTCTGATATTTCAGTGATGATCTGGGATGACCTGAAAAAGAAGACTGTTATTGAAATAGAATTTTCTACAGAAGTCAAGGCTGTCAAACTGCGGCGAGATAGGTAGGTTTGGTATCCAATTTCTAAAAGTGGAATAGTCACTTTCTCAGAAGGTGGCTGAAATACTTTTATGTTGAAGGAAGAAAGTGTTCAGGAAAATGATGTATTGAAATATGATGACTACAATAAAGAATTTTAAAAAATTAATGACACAATAAATGGAAACCTCATGAATGTATGACAGGAAAAAAAATGTGATGACTGTGGTTTATGATCCAAAGGACATAGGATGATTTATGTTACTGCAAGGAAGGCGGTGAATTTTATTGGCCTCCGATGGTCCTTTCGGGGTCAGGGGTCAGGGGCATAGATGAAACGCACCTGCCTCGGCCTGGCGCTGCCCTCAGTGGCTCTCAGTCCCCAGGAGAGCTGTCTCGATCCAGCAGGTGCTGACGGAAGACACAGGTTTGGAACCAGCTTTTCCAAAAGCTGTCTCAGTCCATGTGCCCACTTTGGAGGTACAGGAATAGTTGGAAACTCCTTATGGAGATGTGTCTCCCTTGTTGAGGGCGGGTTTCTCTCTCAGCTGTTCCTTCAGAGTGTTCAGGGCAGTATTGTGGGCAGCGAGGTAGAACACAGCTTTCTAATTTGGATTTAATCTGATGTGGTTTACATGTTCAGCTGTGGAGAACAAGACACTGAACAAGACGAATGTCACCCCTACATCTTAGGTTGGTTATTTCCAGAGACCTGTAGTAATGCAAATAGTGGAGCCGAATCCAGGACCTCCCACTTACTGGCATTTCTAAAGTATCCAGACCGATCTGAAAGCACAGAAATGTCATTTCAGCCCCTTGTATTCTACTGGGTTCTTACTCCAGGTGGGCCATCTGATAATATCTCTTTAAATCTCAGAAAGGTCATTAGCCAGCCTCTACCCAGGTGAGAGGCGCTTGCTCCTCGGTGCTGACCTCACCCTCAGGTTGCTCCTGTGTGACTTGCTCCAAAGACCTACAGGGCCCCAGATTCAAGCAAGAATAATCCTTTTATGGTGTTTAGAGTTTCTAAGGTTCAAAATGATAAGAACAGATATCCCAAAATATTTGAGTTTTGTTTTGAGGGAGGAATTCTGATTTATTTTTTCTTTCTTTCTAGAATTGTGGTTGTTTTGGACTCTATGATTAAGGTGTTTACATTCACACACAATCCCCACCAATTGCACGTCTTTGAAACCTGCTATAACCCTAAAGGTAAGAGATTTGGAGGATGCCGAGACCTCCAGGCTGGTCTGCCCGAGGGCCTTGCTGCGTGAGGTGGTCCTGAGGTGTATTGGGGCACTTGCTCCATCTACTTCAGTGGTTCTCAACCTTCCTAACGCCGAGACCCTTGAATACAGTTCCTCATGTGGTGACCCCCAACCATAACATTATTTTCGTTGCTACTTCATAACTGTCATGTTGCTACTGTTATGAATCGTCATGTAAATATCTGATCTGCAGGATGTATTTTCATTGTTACAAATTGAACATAATTAAAGCATAGCGATTAATCACAAAACAATAAGTAATTATCTGTTTTCTGATGGTCTTGTTCGACCCCCAAAGGGGTCTCGACCCACAGGTTGAGAACCGCTGCTCTACTTCCTCCTGGGTGACCCTCCCAAGGCCAGCCTCCTAGGCAGTGGCCCCTTTATCAGACCCAGGGGCCCTCACAAGGCTCCAGGGAGATTGTCAGCCACTCGGGAGCTCTGTGTGGGCCCTGGAATCTGTGTTTTTATTAAATTCTGAGGCGTTTCCTTTCCTTTTTCTTCTGGAGGCAAGACGCCTTGTGGCTGACTTTGTTATTGGTTAGAAGCTGCTGGGAATGTTGACACACAGATCTCTGTGGAGCCCTGCTGGGTAGCTGGGTGGGCGAGAGCGTCATCCTGATGCTCTAAGGTTGTGGCACGTAGCGGAGTCAGCCAGTGAGCGCATGAGTAAGTGGAGCAGCAGATCAACCTACCTCTAATCGCCCTCCCTCTCTACCCCCTCCCTCTCTCTTGGAAATCAATAAGTAAAAAACTTACATTTTTCGTTTCTCCTGAATAAATACTGAGGAGTGTAATTGCTGGGTCATATTGTAACACACATCTCATTCTACTGAAAACTAGCAAATTTTGCACTCCATCAGTGATCTATGAGCGTTCCAGTTGCCAGCACTCGGTATTGTCAGTCTTTTAACTTTAGACGGTGTTCTAGGTGTGGTGGTATCTCCTTGAGGACTTGGTACGGGAGTGTCTCCATGTGCTTTATCGCCAGTTGTGTATCTTTAGTGTGAAGTATCTTCAGATCTTCTGCCGTTTTAAAATTGTTCATTTTAATACTGACTGGAAAGAATTCTTGATATAATCTGATCAAATTAAGTCTGCCTGGCTGCTGTGGCTCAGAGGTTGAGTGACGACCTAGGAACCAGGAGGTCACGGTTCTATTCCAGGTCAGGGCACATGCCCGGGTTATGGGCTCTATCCCCAGTGTGGGGTGTGCAGGAGGCAGCCCATCAATGATTCTCTCTCATTCTTGATGTCTCTATCTTTCCCTCTCCCTTCCTTTCTCTGCAATCAATAAAAACATACTTTTAAAAAATCAGATTAAGTGTAAGAATATTCTGGATTCCTTAGTCTGTTCCAGTGAGCTGTGTTTCTGTCGTCATGTCAGCACCATACTGCCTTGATTTTTGGAGCTTTAAAATATTTCTTGCAACTAGGTGGTATAAGTCCTCCAAACTTGTCCTTACTTTACATAAATCTTTTTTTGCTATTCCAGGATCTTTCCTTATAACTTTTAGTATCAGCTTGTCTCTTTCTTCAAAAAAGCTTGGGGAGATTTTAACTGTGAATGTAGATTCCAATCCATGGTCATAGTGTAGCTCCATCTATTAGAACTTTGGTTTTCCTTTGCAATGTGTAACAGGGTCTTAAATTCTGTTGTTGAATTTATTCTTAAGTATTTTGTGTTCTTTTGCTGTTGTTAATGGAGCAGTTTTCACGTTTTACAATTTTGCATTCTCAGTGCCTGACACCGTGGAAGACAGACATTTGATAAAGTTTATTCAATAAGTTCAGCAACTGTTTCCAGTTATGAGAAGGTCTCATGGGAGGTAGTTTCACTTGGCCCTCTGGTACCCTTTTTTGATTCTGATACAAATGGAAACCCACAAATAATTCTCACTTTTTTCCTTGGGAACTGGAGAGCAGAGAGCAGGTTGGACAAGGCTTTGCATGTGGGAAAGCGGAGGCTTTGAAGATGGTTTTGAATCCTTGACAGTTTTTCTCTGTCTCTGTTTAGGCCTCTGTGTCCTGTGCCCGAATAGCAACAACTCCCTCCTGGCCTTCCCCGGGACACACACGGGCCACGTGCAGCTCGTGGACCTGGCCAGCACCGAGAAGCCGCCTGTGGACATTCCTGCCCACGAGGGCGTTCTGAGCTGCATTGCTCTCAACCTGCAGGGAACAAGAATTGCAACTGCATCTGAAAAAGTAAGGGTGTGCCCCTGCCCTGGAGGGCGTGGTCCTGCCGGAGCCCACCCACCCCGACGACCTCACGGATGGGCTCCGCAGGAAACAAGTGGTCGTTGACATGGCCGGTCCAGAGGTCATTGGACCTGGGCAGCCTCGTCTGTGGGCAGAATTGCAGCCTTGCTTTTCCTAACTGGCTGTGGGGGTTACAGTGAAGGTGCCATTTCTTTAGACATGAGTTGACGGCACTCAAGGGACAGGTCAGCCTGGCCTCCGTGTGCTCTTGGGTGTCTGCAGGGAGCAGATGCCCAGGGTCAGTCAAGGGTCCCAAGTCTCTCACCCCTTGGCCCTTGCCCAGAGCTGTCGCATCAAAGAGCCACCAGCCCATTCTTGGGAACAGTGGGGGGAAGCGTCGGGTTTTAGATGATGTGGGTGAATTTGGGAGGACGGTTGTAGGGCTAGTGGTTTTGTGAATAGATCTCGGTGAAAAAACTAAAACGTTGTGAATCTTTGATAATGAAACACTTCACTGTTTTTCAAAGGGGACCCTTATAAGAATATTTGATACTTCATCAGGGCATTTAATCCAGGAGCTGCGAAGAGGATCTCAAGCAGCCAATATTTACTGGTAAGGGTGGCCGCGTTTCCACGGAGACAAGGCATTGCTTGGGTGGTGCATTGAAATGGGCCCCGTGTGATGTGGAGCGACAGGCGAGACCCCTGGGCAGCTGGCAGGAGGCGGCTATGCTGTGTTGGTGGGGGGCATGTGTCGGCTCATTTTATTAGTAGTAATTTTACCGTTTATTATGGGAATATGTACAAAAGTAGAAAGAGTATTATAATTACCATTAACCATCACCCTACTTGAGCATTTATCAATATTGTCCTGTTTTATTTTACCTCTTCACTTTCCCCCAGCTTATTTTTCTGGGGTATTTTATGGCAAATGTTAGAGACCTGTTGGCTCCTCTGTAATTACTTAGCCGCCTCTGGGAGTCTGAGCTGCTTTCTCCATCGTAGCTGCTACCACGCCCCTGGTGTTGGCAGGACTGAGGTGCTGGACCCCTGGGTGGGCAGGATTCCATTCTTTGCATCTGTGGCTCTTGTAGGTGCTGAGCAGCATTTGGGTCTGGGAGTTAAGAATGTAATTCATATATAAACGTAGTGCGTGTGCCTGTGGGCCTGTGGTGGCAGCATGCTCTCCTGTCTGTCTGCTCTCGGCCCCTCCCCAGCCCGTCCACCTCCAGAGGGGTAGCCTGCACTGCAGGGAGCAGGGTGGTTGGAGAGGTGGAGGTTTTCTCACCCAGTGGCGTGTGGGGCAGCCTCAGGCCCTGGGGCTGCAGGAAGCCCTCCCTGTCCCCAGCATCCAGCGTGTCCGTGCCCAGGGAGAGGCCTGCTGTGACACTGGGGTGCTGTGCTTTGACCCCGGTTCTATGGTCGCGAGCGCTGTGGGCTTGTTCAAGGAGGGGTGGTCCTTACATTGCTGTCCTGAGTGTGGGACGGCCAAGGTGGCAGCTCGGGCGGCTTGTGGCTGTGGTTGGGGCTGGGGCTGGGCTCCTTGGCACCCACATGAGACCAGAGCATCATCTGATTTCTCTGCAGCATCAGCTTCAATCAGGACGCATCCCTCATCTGCGTGTCCAGTGACCACGGCACAGTGCACATCTTCGCTGCTGAGGACCCAAAAAGGAATAAGCAGTCCAGGTAGGTTTCCAGAGCGAACGGACTCGCTGTTGCTTCATGGGGTAGAGCCGTGAGGCACCCAGCGGGGCTGCTTCATGGTCCTTCCTTTGATTCTTTGAAAACCAGTGCAGACGATTTGATACTGAAACGGCGTCCTTACTTCCTGTTGTCCCGCTGAGGATGCAGGCGCTCGGTCCTGCGTGCCCGTGGCCGTCCGCGTTCGCTGTGTTTAGAAATTTAGTGACAGTCGGGAGCCTGTGTCCCTTCTGGTGCTGATGGCTTCTGGGGTTATTATAAAGCCATTTGTAAGGACTTCGTTTTTTCGTGTGAAAAACAAAAAAATTAAAAGCAAAAACAGAATTCAAATTATTCAGGCTAAGACTATGTTAAACAAAGCGGTAGCTTTAAGATAAGTGAATGTAACGTCTTTCTTTCCTTCCTTGTCCTCATAGTTTGGCATCAGCCAGTTTCCTTCCAAAATACTTCAGTTCCAAGTGGAGTTTTTCCAAGTTTCAGGTTCCCTCGGGCTCTCCATGCATTTGTGCCTTTGGAACAGAGCCAAACGCCGTCATTGGTAAGTGGTCCTGCCTGACGAGAATGACAAGGCCCCCCAGCCCAGTGTTGGCTGCGCTAGCCCAGCCCTGCTGGGGGCCCCGTGTCCCCCTCGGTCTCCCTGCCTCCGAGGTTTCCCAGGAAATCCTGCGGGCAGATCCGTTGTTTTTTTAACTGATGACCAAAGAGGGTTTTTTCCCATGGCCAGCACTCCCAGAACAGTTGGGACTCGGGCACCTATGTGCTCAATAAGGATGGGGAGCCCTGGCCGTCCACAAAGCCATGTACAGTCAACTGCTTGGTGCTCTGTGTGGCCCTTTGCAGTTCAGCTGAGCAAGGGCTGCTTGCTTTCACTTTGCGGGAAGAACCGTGAGTAAGATGGTCTCCTTCTGTTGCAGCAATCTGTGCAGACGGCAGCTACTACAAATTCCTGTTCAACCCCAAGGGGGAGTGCATCCGGGATGTCTACGCCCAGTTTCTAGAAATGACTGACGACAAGCTGTGACTCTTCACCCAGAGTGCAATCAACACCCACGGCCGAGTGCCCCCAAAGTGCTGAGTGTGCCCCTCAAACTTCTGGGGCTGGTGCCGGCACCTTTGGGCCTTGTGGGTGACGGGCTGGAGGGACCGCCGGGGACCTTGGTCTCGAAGCCACATGTGGTTGTCTGTTTCCTAAGCAAGGCTTCGCGTTTCCAGTATTAAAGGAAGGATGAGCGCCCGGGCCTCGCGGACACTCGAGCTCCGAGCGTCCGAGCCTGCCTGCTGGCTTGCTCCTGTGGTTCAGCCGTGACACTAGCCTCGCTGGGTCACTGCTTCCTCCCACCTGCAGTCGGGGCTCCAAACAGACTTGGGGGCTGGGTTGAGAAAAGGATGGACACATAGAAACTTGTTTGTCAACAGATTCCGTCGTTTTCACTGAGTCTATAATGGGGAAATGGACAGATGTATAAATGTTAGTTCTTATAACCAGATTTGAATAGAATAATCATACCAGCAGCTTGCCTTAGAAAAGGAGGAAGGAATTTTCTCCCACTTGAACATGAAGAGCGACAGCTGTGAGTCCCGTCGTGGTCCCTGTGCCCACTGTCACCTGTGGTGAGGCTGTGCGCACGTGCTGGCGGCCTGTCTTTCTGTTGGAGTCGAGGCAAACGGGGGGCCTCCCGGCGAGGAGGCCACTTGTGCATCACCTGGGTCTCCTGGAGAAAACTCCCGTTGCGTGTGTGCAGGGAACAGCAGTGCATAGACTTCACAGTCAGTCAGAAGAAAGCGTCCCGTAGAGGATCTGAAGGGACACGTCGGCGTCTCAGCAGAGCGCAGCGGGGAGCCCTCCCTGCCACTTCCACTTCCTGCCTCACCACCTTGTCTCTCCAGCACTTGTAGGAAGGGCTGCACACTAACGTGGAGAGTGAGGGGCACATACTGTACCGTTGGGTAGCACAGCTGTGGGCTCAGTGTCCGTGCTGGGGGGGCTGCTTTAATGTTCCCAAATCCCCTTTGAAGACACTTGGCTGCAGGTTTGATGTCAGGTGGCAAACAGGGTCTGCAGCAGCAAGTCCTCCGTTTGCCAGTCTTTCACTGTCGTGTGATCAGCTAACTTTGTATGTGGGTTTCAATGTCAAGTATGCATGTTCCTTTCATGTGTATTTAATCATGAAATTTAATTTTGCACACTTATTTTTAATGTTTCTTTAAATAAAAGTGACTAATTTTGTTGTACTCTGTACCTCGCAAGGGAAAAGAATTGTATGTTATAAAACCAAGCCCCTGGTTTCGAGTATCTGGTTGAGTTGTGGGCTCCAGGGCTGCCCCACATGTCCTGCCCATTGGGCTGCTGTGGCGGAGACGGGGCTACAGGGCGCCCTGTCCCAGGCGGCCATGGCTTGGCTCAGTTCCCCGGGGGCGCAGAGGTGAAGAACGCTCTTGAGCGGTGTTCGTGGTCTTGTCAGGGAGGCTTGGCCCATGGTCTCTAGGCCTGGACACTGCTCACCGAGTGGTGTCAGGCTGCCCCGTCAATTTCCCGCTCACTCAGCTAACACTTTAACCTCGACTTTAGGTAGGATCGGAGGCGTCCTTTACATCCGTGTAATTCTAGTTTATCTTTTCCCCAAGGACAGTCCCTCTGGTGTATCCAAGTATACGTTAAATTGGGGGGATGTCCACAAAGGAAGCTTCGGAATTCTTGGTGCATGGAGAGCCTGGGAACTGGAGAGGAAGGCAGGGCAGACGGTGTGGGACACCTGGTCCCGCCCAGTGAGAGCAGGTCCTGGGGCGAGGCCTTGCCTCCTTCAGGGAAGGACAGAGCCAGCCCCACAGCCCTTTGGGCCCCATGGCGATGATCCCATCGTACCCAGACAAGCAAAATCCCGCCACTCAAGACGATTCCTGCGAGGAGATCGGGCAGTGTCCTTTAGCCTCTGGCCATTTTTATTTTTTTTAAATATATTTTATTGATTTTTTTACAGAGAGGAAGGGAGAGGGATAGAGAGTTAGAAACATCGATGAGAGAGAAACATGGATCAGCTGCCTCCTGCACATCTCCCACTGGGGATATGCCCGCAACCAAGGTACATGCCCTTGACCGGAATCGAACCTGGGACCCTTCAGTCCGCAGGCCGACGCTCTATCCACTGAGCCAAACCAGTCAGGGCCCTCTGGCCGTTTTTATAGTTGGTTTTTAATGGGAGGAGCGGGAGAAGCACCGAAGGAAATGCAGCCATGCTGGGGTTTGAACATAGTTCTTTTGGAGAAGTGCTGTGAGATGTAGCTTCACGCTGTCGGCTGACTGATCCCTCGGCCCATAAATGGTGCCAAGACCCACAGTGAGCCGCCGTGTGCCGGGCG